GTCTTAGACTATTATTCCACACTGGAAGAGATAATCTAGATGAGAAATTTGACACTTCGTAGCTCACTTGTGGCAGAAAAATAGATAAGACAAGAGTAAAAAATCAAATTTTAGAAAAATGTTTTTCCAACAACTTTTTTGTTTCCTACCACTAAACATTGAGCCATAAACAATTATTTTACACATGAATAGACACTCTAGATGCAGAGTAGGTAATCTGGATGTAGGATTTGACATTTTTGAGCAATCTTGGAGCAAAAATTGAGATAGCCTAAAAATGCCCAAAATTGAGATTTTTCCAAAGGCGCGCGCCTGTCGGGTTTGGCCAAAATCTGACATTTTCCAAATGTTGAAAATTTAGTCTCAGACTATTATTTCACACTGGAAGAGATAATCTAGATGAGAAATTGGACACTTCACAGCTCGCTTGTGGCTGAAAAATAGATAAGATTAGAGTGAAAAAAAAAACATTTTCAAAAGAAATGTTTCCAACAATTTTTTTGTTTCCTACACTACTTAACATTGAGCCCTGAACAATTATTTTACACACGAATAGACACTCTAGATGCAGAGTAGGTAATCTGGATGTAGGTTTTGACATTTTGGAGCAATCTTGGAGCAAAAATTGAGATAGCCTAAAAATGCCCAAAATTGAGATTTTTCCAAAGGCGCGCGCCTGTCGGGTTTGGCCAAAATCTGACATTTTCCAAAAGTTGAAAATTTAGTCTCAGACTATTATTTCACACTGGAAGAGATAATCTAGATGAGAAATTTGACACTTCGTAGCTTACTTGTGGCAGAAAAATAGATAAGACAAGAGTAAAAAAAACAAATTTTAGAAAAAAAAATTCCCAACAACTTTTTTGTTTCCTACCACTAAACATTGAGCCCTAAACAATTATTTTACACATGAATAGACACTCTAGATGCAGAGTAGGTAATCTGGATGTAGGATTTGACATTTTGGAGCAATTTTGGAGCAAAAATTGAGATAGCCTAAAAATGCCCAAAATTGAGATTTTTCCAAAGGCGCGCGCCTGTCGGGTTTGGCCAAAATCTGACATTTTCCAAGAGTTAAAAATTTAGTCTTAGATTATCATTTCAAACTGGAAGAGATAATCTAGATGAGAAATTTGACACTTCACATCTCGCTTGTGGCAGATAAATAGATAAGACAAGAGTAAAAAAAAAAACATTTTCAAAAGAAATGTTCCCAACAATTTTTTTTTTTCCTACCACTTAACATTGAGCCCTGAACAATTATTTTACACATGAATAGACACTCTAGATGCAGAGTAGGTAATCTGGATGTAGGATTTGACATTTTGGAGCAATCTTGGAGCAAAAATTGAGATAGTCTAAAAATGCCCATAATTGAGATTTTTCCAAAGGCGCGCGCCTGTCGGGTTTGGCCAAAATCTGACATTTTCCAAAAGTTAAAAATTTAGTCTCAGATTATCATTTCAAACAGGAAGAGATAATCTAGATGAGAAATTGGACACTTCACAGCTCGCTTGTGGCAGAAAAATAGATAAGACAAGAGTGAAAAAACAAATTTTAGAAAAAAATGTTACCAACAACTTTTTTGTTTCCTACCACTAAACATTGAGCCCTAAACAATTATTTTACACATGAATAGACACTCTAGATGCAGAGTAGGTAATCTAGATGTAGGATTTGACATTTTAGAGCAATTTTGGAGCAAAAATTGAGATAGCCTAAAAATGCCCAAAATTGAGATTTTTCCAAAGGCGCGCGCCTGTCGGGTTTGGCCAAAATCTGACATTTTCCAAAAGTTGAAAATTTAGTCTTAGACTATTATTTCACACTGGAAGAGATAATCTAGATGAGAAATTTGACACTTCGTAGCTCACTTGTGGCAGAAAAATAGATAAGACAAGAGTAAAAAAAAAAGAAATTTAGAAAAAAAATTTCCCAACAACTTTTTTGTTTCCTACCACTAAACATTGAGCCCTAAACAATTATTTTACACATGAATAGACACTCTAGATGCAGAGTAGGTAATCTGGATGTAGGATTTGACATTCTGGAGCAATCTTGGAGCAAAAATTGAGATAGCCTAAAAATGCCCAAAATTGAGATTTTTCCAAAGGCGCGCACCTGTCGGGTTTGGCCAAAATCTGACATTTTCCAAATGTTGAAAATTTAGTCTCAGACTATTATTTCACACTGGAAGAGTTAATATAGATGAGAAATTTGACACTTTGTAGCTCACTTGTGGCAGAAAAATTGATAAGATTAGAGTGAAAAAACAAATTTTTGAAAGAAATGTTCCCAACAACTTTTTTGTTTCCTACCAATAAACATTGAGCCCTAAACAATTATTTTACACATGAATAGACACTCTAGATACAGAGTAGGTAATCTGGATGTAGGATTTGACATTTTGGAACAATCTTGGAGCAAAAATTGAGATAGCCTAAAAATGCCCAAAATTGAGATTTTTCCAAAGGCGCGCGCCTGTCGGGTTTGGCCAAAATCTGGCACTCTTCCGAATACCGGCCCCATATTATTCAAAGACAAAAAATCCCATTCATGGGCTGGCTGTACAACAATCTGGAATGGGCTATCAATGGACAGGAGAGACATGATCAAAGTCATATGAGAGACGAAATGTGAGGCTTTTGCTTTCGTGGAACATGATTTTTCACTGACTAGACTGCATATCCTGGATGTTCCAACTGGATCTGCCCGACGGAAACCCATGCAGGAGCCACCCTTTGTTACATCAACCAGAATAGAGTGGAAGTTATTAGCCTGAAACACTTGGAGTTACTCGGGAGGAGATCGGAGCACTTATGTCCGATAACGATGATCTCTAAAGTAAACAAACAATGGGCCTCAGAAACTACTGGAGAAGACAACACAAGATTACTGACATAATTTTCATTTGATTAAGTTTTAACGACATTAAAACTAGGAAGAGATAGAAAGACACCCCGCAGTTTACTGAATGTTTATACCATATAAAAATGGCAAAAAAACAAAACACAAAAAAAAACCACAAATGCATTGGTGAGATCTACAAATAAAGGCACCATCCTAATATATGTTGCTTCAGTGCCTACTGCTGTTTCCACATTGTCACAGTTCCAGTCCTTTTCCCCTCTTTGTCTTCACAAAACATCTTCTGATGTTTGAAACATTCCAGTCTGAAATGTAGAGAGAGAGAGAGAGAGAGAGAGAGAGAGAGAGAGAGAGAGAGCGAGAGAGAGAGAGAGAGAGAGAGACAGAGAGAGAGAGAGAGAGAGAGAGAGAGAGAGAGAGAGAGAGAAAGAGAGAGAGAGAGAGAGAAGTAAACTATTTAGTAGTATCATCTATGTTTTACACTTATTGTTCCCCCTACCCTTTATCATTACCACCCTTTATGCCACATCACCTTATTGTCCAATACATTTATCCATCATTTCCTGAATCCACTTCCTCCTTTCTCTCCGTGATCCCTTATCTTCCCCACTCCTTCAAACCCCCCCCCCCCACTTCCTTATCTCCCTCACTCCCACATCATGCCGCACTCCCTCTGAGTTATCCCCTACTTCTCTATCACCGTAAAATTAAAATCAACCTATTCCCTTATTGTTCCCCCTACCCTTTATCATTACCACCCTTTATGCCATATCACCTTATTGTCCAATACATTTATCCATCCTTTCCTGAATCCACTTCCTCCTTCCCCTCCGTGATCCCTTATCTTCCCCACTCCTTCAAACCCCCCCCCCCCCACACTTCCTTATCTCCCTCACTCCCACATCATGCCGCACTCCCTCTGAGTTATCCCCTACTTCTCTATCACCGTAAAATTAAAATCAACCTATTCCCGCCCATGCCCACTTCTGTATCCCCCTACTCCCCTATGTCTCCCCACCTGCCCCTGGTTCTTGTTGCCACGTCTCTGTCACCGTCCCCCCTCGGTCCTGTCCTATCCCGTACCCTCGTCACTGTCACCCTTTTCCTGTTTCCTTCCCCGGTCACTATTTCCTTTCCCCGTCCCTGTTTCCTTCCCCGGTCACTATTTCCTTTTCCCGTTCCTGTTTCCTTCCCCGGTCACTATTTCCTTTCCCCGTCCCTGTTTCCTTCCCCGGTCACTATTTCCTTTTCTCGTTCCTGTTTGCTTCGCCTGTCCCTGTTTCCTCCCGCCGTCCCTGTTTCCTTCCCCGTCCCTGTTTACTTCCCCGTCCCTGTTTACTTCCCCGTCCTTGTTTACTTCCCCGTCCCTGTTTACTTTCCCGTCCCTGTTTACTTCCCCGTCCTTGTTTACTTTCCCGTCCCTGTTTACTTTCCCATCCCTGTTTACTTTCCAGTCACTGTTTACTTTCCCGTCCCTGTTCACTTTCCCATCCCTGTTTACTTTCCAGTCCCTGTTTACTTCCCCGTCCCTGTTTACTTTCCAGTCCCTGTTTACTTCCCCGTCCCTGTTTACTTTCCCGTCCCTGTTTACTTCCCCGTCCTTGTTTACTTTCCCGTCCCTGTTTACTTTCCCATCCCTGTTTACTTTCCAGTCACTGTTTACTTTCCCGTCCCTGTTCACTTTCCCATCCCTGTTTACTTTCCAGTCACTGTTTACTTTCCCGTCCCTGTTTACTTTCCCGTCCCTGTTTACTTTCCCATCCCTGTTTACTTTCCCGTCCCTGTTTACTTTCCCATCCCTGTTTACTTTCCAGTCCCTGTTTACTTTCCCGCCCCTGTTTACTTCCCCGTCCTTGTTTACTTTCCCGTCCCTGTTTACTTTCCCATCCCTGTTTACTTTCCAGTCCCTGTTTACTTTCCCGTCCCTGTTTACTTTCCCATCCCTGTTTACTTTCCAGTCCCTGTTTCCTTCCCCGTCCCTGTTACCTTCCCCGTCCCTGTTTCCTTCCCCGTCCCTGTTTCCTTCCCCGTCCCTGTTTACTTCCCTGTCCCTGTTTACTTCCCCGTCCCTGTTTCCGTCCCCTTCCCTGTTTCCTTCCCCGTCCCTATTTTCTTCACATGTCCCTGTTTTCTTCACATGTCATTGTTTCCTTCACATGACCCTGCCCCCCCCCCCACACCACCCCCGTTTCAGACCGTGTGTGACATATTCTACATGATTATGATAGTGGGACCATCCTCTCCCCCCCCCCCCCCCCCACAATCCCATCTCTCTCTCTCGCCCTCTCAATAGACAATAGAAAACGGAAGCTAGTTGAATTACTGCTTTGATCTTCCAGCTGCTAAACACACCCCCCCCCCCCCCCCCGCTCCTCCCCCCCCCCCCGACTGCCTGTACCACTGTGCTAAACTGGGTCAATACTAACCGTTCTACCTATGTTGAATACGTCTTTATTCCCCAAAACAAAAGATGTGTGGCAATGCTAGGTATTTTTTTTACACCAAAAAAATATAAACCCTAAGAAGGTTAGTGGTTTACCCACATGCTGACAAGTCAGACGTACTATAGCACATAAGAAGACACATTTACAGAAAGAAAATTTAATATAGTTAGAATGACTCCTGCCGTACACATTAAATGGACCTATAGTGGTTAGTTACGTATCCTTTACAGGACGTTGCAGAACCAACCCCAACAGCCCCTGGCTGTTGTGTGGTTTTTCTAGGCAAATTTACGTCCAGTAGTTTGCCATTGCTTTCTTGACGGTCAGCTTTCTTAATACCACTGTCGAAACCAATTCAAGGCGCATGGACCGCAGTTGGGATCGAACCCGGAATCCCGGCATTACGAAGCGTTCGCATCGACTTAGCAAATGGACCTATATGCAGTTTAAATTTAAACTGCAACTCCACTTCCCCACAGGGAGCTTCACTTATAAGTCTCTGTCATAAGATTTGATCTCCTCTCCTAACGAACAGTGGTGCCATGGTACCTTGCTCTAACAAGTGGCGCGGAGTGTGAATGTTGGCCCAAGATCCTGAGCTAGGTAACACTGGAAATAGACACCTTGTTATTGAGAAGTTTGCGACAAAACTCCAGCTGAGCCACAGCCACCTGCCACACACTGCTACTTTTGCTCGGTTTCACACACATCCATAGCAGCAAAAGGGTTAAAGCTAGTTTCTATTGTTTCTATCGCAAAGCTAGGTAATTAGTTTATACTTAACGTGTGTTCCAAAAATAGTTCCTCTTGTTGAATAACTTTCTCACAGTAAGTTCTTACTGTATCATCTTTCCTCTTGTTGAATAACTTTCTCACAGTAAGTTCTTACTGAATCATCATTCCTCTTGTTGAATAACTTTCTCACAGTAAGCTCTTTCTGAATCATCCTTCCTCTTGTTGAATAACTTTCTCACAGTAAGTTCTTACTGAATCATCCTTCCTCTTGTTGAATAACTTTCTCACAGTAAATTCTTACTGAATCATCCTTCTTCTTGTTGAATAACTTTCTCACAGTAGGTTCTAACTGAATCATCCTTCCTCTTGTTGAATAACTTTCTCACAATAAGCTCTTACTGAATAATCCTTCCTCTTGTTGAATAACTTTCTCACAGTAAGTTCTTACTGAATCATCCTTCCGGTTATTGAATAACTTTCTTACAGTAAGCTCTTACTGAATCATTCTTCCTCTTGTTGAATCCTCTCCAAAAAATTAGTTCTGATAGAATCGTGGTCCCAAAGCTAGTTCCTCTTTTAAGCACTTTCCAAACAAATTACTTAGTTCCTAATAGTTTGAAAGGTAATTCTTTTCGTTGAATCACTGTTCTAAAATGTGTGTATTCTTGTTACACCACAGTTTACAAGTTATCTATTATTTATCACGGCCCTAAAGTTAGTTCTTCTTATCTTGTTGAATCGCCTTTCCAGAGTTAGTTCATTTTTAATCACTGACCCAAAGTTAGTTCTGGTTAAATCACTGTCCCAAAGTTAGTACTGGCTAAATCACTGTTCCATGGTTAGTTTTTATTAAATTACTTTCAAAGGTATTAAAGCTGTTGAATCACTTCGTAAAGTAAGTTCGGCTTCTTGAAATATTGTCCCAAAAGGTAGTTCCTTTTGTTGAATTCTGTAGTCTGGTCTGGTAGTCTGGTAGTCTTAGTTTCAGCTTTATAGCAAACGGGTCACCCCATCTTCGTGCCAACGAAAAACACACAGAATGTTTATCACAGTATTAGAATTGCAGTTCATCATTGATGGTAGCAGAAGTCGCCAACAGATCAGCAGTTGCCCACGCAATTAATTTTAATCACATTCGGGCACCACAACACTGCACGACAGGCATCGCGACATTTTCTGAATCTACAATTCACACCAACACGTTGGTAACAGTCGAAAAAACATTCAAAATGCAATCCGCAGCTCACAGGGTCACGCCATGCATTCAACACAGAAGCTGGGCGACGAAACTATATCCAGTCTACAAATGGAACAAAAATGCATCGGCCACCATCCGGCAGAAGCAAAAAAAAATTGCATCTGTTTCGAACAGTGCCGCTGCCTAAAGTCCATTTTGACCGGAAGGGTCCAATTCTGTTGAATTCTGCCCCATAGCTAGTTCCAGTTGTTCAATCACTACTCCAAAGCTAGTGATTCTTGTTGAATCACCATCTCAAAGATAGTTTCGCTTGTTGAATCACTGTCACAAAGCTAGTTCTTGTTAAATCACTATCCCAAAGTTAGTTCTTCTTGTTGAACCACTGTCTTCAAGCTAGTTCTGTTTGTTGAATCACTATTCTAAAGCTAGTTCTTCTTGTTGAATCATTATTCCAAAGCTAGTTATTCTTGTTGAATCACTGTCCTCGAGCTAGTTCCTCTTGTTGAATTATTGTCCCGAAGCTAGTTATTCTTGCTGAAACACTATCCCACAACTACTTCTTCTTGTTATCACTGTCCCAAAGTTCAGTCTTCTTGTTGAATCAATAGTCCAAAGCTAGTTCTTCCTGTTGAATCACTGTCCTTGAGGTAGTTTCACTTGTTTAATCTTTTTCCCAAAGCTAGTTGTTTCTGTTGAATCACTGTCCTTAAGCTAGTTCCTCTTGTTGAATCTTTATCCCAAAACTAGTTCTTCTTAGCGAATCGCAGTCACAGCATCAGCTCTCTGTGATATTGCTTGCATCATCTGAAACTGGATAATTCCCAAGTATCCATCTTTATAGTTACATTCATTTGCATAATAAAGGGATGTGTAGCGACCTCTTACTTAGAAATTGATTGAAGTATCTTTAATCCAGGTGCTATCCTTGGAGCCAATCACAACTAGTCCCTTTGACTTTGTGATCTCCCACAAACGAGCCAGACCGGCTGAAATTAAATAAGCTGTATAGGGTCTTATACAATGTCAGTTGTTCCAAATTGGATGACCCGTTAACCTCATTTATTAGCTAAAGTTAGCCTGCCACAAATCCTATACTTCTGAAGTAATAAATATATGTGTAAATGTTCGTTTGTTGGTAATTGTTAATCTCCGAAAGTTCATATTGCTTTCAAATTTTGATACAATATTGCATTCTAATATACGCGTGGTTTTTTTTTACAAGAGTGTCGCACAAAGCACGAAATACCTAATTCCAGCGACGATCACATCCACATCTTGGTTTTTATTTTACAACGATTATTTTTCGTTGCCACATTACTGGAGTCGGTTTTTTATTTCCACTGGTCTGCGCACTTTGACAATTGACCTCAGAAATCTGCATGAAGCTGTAGGAGATAAATAAATTGTTTTGTTATGGGGATAAAGAGTTGCGGAAATAAAAAGAGAGCTGTTTAAAAATTCTATGGGAATGAAAAGAATGGGAATTAAAGATTAGTCATTATTGACGACTATCATCACATCCGGACACATCCATAGTATCTTTTTATCAACCGTTTTGCAAGCGCAAAACTACCAATGTCGCCCCTTCTGTGGTGATCAATCAGACGGCTCTTGCCCTTGGTGAAATATTATTGCCTGGCTGCTCCAGGCTGCACTTCAATATCCACCACCCCCCACACGATCTTCTTAGCGATATACATCTCAGTTAGCATCAATGACATGACTACTGCCCATGTCGGGAAAGTCACAGTAACCGCCTTCTGCTCACTGTAGCAGCAGCGGTAGTTGTTAGTAGCAGAATCACTTGGTCAACTATAATTACTATTCTGCTGCTACTACCATTGCTGCTACAATGAGCAGATCTAGGAAACTACCAGAATTGCAAACACTCCTGACACAACTTAGCTTTCATCGAAGAGTTGTAATGCAGTGGATACCATCATATTGTGGAGTGCCTGGAAAAGAGAAAGCTGATCAACTGGCAGGGGAAGGTGCGACAAAAGAGCAGCCGGATGTACCAGTCACATTTCACCAAAAGAAAAGCATGATTAAATTGATCAGGAAACCACCAGCCCCAGCACAAGACGACTATTTTATTATGGATAGATCAGAACAAGTCATTATCCTCCGCCTCAGAACAGGGCACAACTGATTACGTAACCACATGTACACAAAATTCAAGATAGGCGTATCAGCCATGTGCACCTATCGAAAGGTGCCCCAGACAGCAGTGCATGTACTCCAGGACTGCACCGAATTTGACACATTAAGGCAAACCTTTTGGCCAGAAAGAACAACAGTGGAACGCAAACTCTATGGACCACTGAATGAATTAACAACAGCAGTGAAATTTATGCAAGAGACAAAATTGCTGATATATACAACTTATTTCAGGCGAACGAAAGAAGAAGAAGAAACAGATTAATTTTTGCGGGCAAGGCGGTTACAGTGATGGGTTCGACCACGGGTAAAGTGATAAAGTATTTTTGTCTAGGGAAGGATTAAACACCATAGCCTGAACAGTCCGTGGCGAAAGCACTAGTCATGCGGCCCTAAATCCTCAGGCTTACGACCCCCTGTCTATACCGACC